CAATTATGTTCCTGAGATGGTCTCTAGATTCAGGTGGAGTATACACAAGGCCATACTTTGGCTCTTGTTGACTTGTTCTAATTTTCTTCAGCTTCACCTTGAACTTATATATGAGCAATTGATGGTCTGTTCTGCAGTCAGCCCCTGGCTTTGTTCTAACTGATGATACTGATCTTCTTCATCTTCTCTTTCTATAGAAATAGTTGATTTGATTCGTATGTACTCCATCCAGTGAGGTCCACATGTACAGTTGCCATTTATGTTGTTGAAAAAAGATGTTTCCAAAGAATAAGTGTTTGGTCTTGCAAAATTCTGTCATGTGATCTCCGGTGTCATTTCTATCACCAAGGCCATACTTTCCAACTACTGAACCTTCCTCTTTGTTTCCAACTTTCACATTCCAATCACTGGTAATTATCAATGCATCTTCATTGCATGTTTGATCAATTTCAGACTGCAGAAGTTGGTAAAAATCTTCAATTTCTTCATATTTAGGCATTAGTGTTTGGTGCATAAATTTGAATAATAATCATATTAACCAGTTTTCCTTGTAGGCATATGGATATTATATTAACACTGACAGTGTTGTACTTCAGGATAGATCTTGAAATGTTCTTTTTGTCAACTAATGTGACCCCGTTTCTTTTCAATGTGTCATTCCCAGCACAATAGACCATAAGATTGTCTGATTCAAAATGGCCAATACCAATCCATGTCAGCTCACTAATGCCTAGGATATCTATCTTCAAGCGTTCCATTTCATTTTTGACAATTTCCAGTTTTCCTAGAGTCACCCTTCATGCATTCCACATTCTGATTATTAATGAATGTTTGCAGTTGTTTCTTTTCATTCTGAGTCATGCCACATCAGCAAATGAAGGTCCCAATATCTTTACTCCATCCACATTATCAAAGTCAACTCTACTTTGTGGAGGCAGTGCTTCCCCAGTCACATTTTGAGTGCCTTCCAACCTAAGGGTCTCATCTTCCAGCACTATATCGGACAGTGTTCCACTGCTATTCATAAGGTTTTCATTAGCCAATTTTTTTAGCAGTAGATGGCCAGGTCCTTCTTTCTAGTCTGTCTTAGTCTGGAAGCTCAGCTGAAACCTGTCCACCATGGGTGACCCTGCTGGTATTTGAAATACCAGTGGCATAGCTTCCAGAATCACAGCAACACACAAGCCACTGCAGTATGACAAATTGACAGAAAAATAGTGGATACAGTATTATTTCACTATTGTTGTCTCTTGAGCTATTTTTAGTTTTTTGCTCTGATAAACATGAAGAAGAAAGCTGTAGCAAAAATAAACAAGAAGACGATGACTAAGTATTCAGAGATATAGGAACATCATGTTGTGTATTTTCTTCTTGCTTGTATTCTCATTGCAGAATAGTGAGGTGTCAATGGTGTCTAGTGAAGGGAAAACAAAGGGTAAGAAATTTTCAGCATGTCTCCAAGATAGTATGGGTAAGAGAATGTTCTGATTCTGATGAACCAGCCCTGAATCACTTTGAAGAGGAGTGTGTGAATATTTCAACAGGCTTACTGGGAGTACTCAAGGACATTCAATTCCAATTTTTCTAATTCTTGGCTCATTTCTATTGAGCTATAAATTTATAACTAACTGATTGATAAATTACTCAGAACATCCTGTGCAGAGGTTTTGTTCTCTCGCTAAGTAGATATTCCTTTGTGAGTTAATAAATTGAACACAGTTTCATAAATTAATCCCTCTTGGGTAGATGGCACATTTAAGTCAGTTCACTGAAGCATGACCACTGTGACATGAACAGGCAACTTTGTGTGTCTGGGTTTACAGAACACTGTCAAGGTTTTAATATTAACTATCCAAGCTCAGCCTGGGAAGTTAGGTAACTGGCCTCATTCCTTCTAATAACACTTCTTAGCTGCATCAGTGACAATATGGGGTAATTCAATTCCTTGGAACCTTCTCTCTAGGATGTACCCAGGAGGTAGTGTAGTGATACCTGTGAATTGAAACATGTTTTTGTTTGTTTTTTTCTTAAAGGCTCACCACCGTAACTGATTTATGGTATGATTTTGGGAGGTGTTAGGGTGCATTTAAAAGCTTTATTAACTCCTCTGAATTCCCTGGCTACTACTAAATGTACCCTAGTTGTCCCAAAGAATTAACAGAGCTGAGGTTCAATTAATTCTGGCAGTAGGTTAATGGACCTGGAAGCACTGTCCTAAACTATGGGGTCTAACAGGATTGGCATCTGCATACAAAAGGAAATTTGTGAAATTATGCTGTCCTAAAGATGTAACTTTGATGACGAAGGTGCACCTGACCTACACCATGGTCTTTTCAATAGCCTCATATGCATGTGAAAACTGGACAATGAAAAAAGAAGACAGAAGAATTGATGCATTTGAATTGTGATGTTGGCAAAGAATATTGAATATATCATGGACTGCCAGAAGAATGAACAAATCAGTCTTAGAAGAAATAACAACCAGAATGTTGCCCCTAAGAAGCAAGGACGAATGACTTTGGCTTGCTTAATTTGGACAAGTCATCAGGAAAGGCTAATCCCTAGAAAAAGATATCATGTTTGGTAAAGTAGAGGGTCAGCAAAAACGAGGGAAACCCTCAATGACCTGGACTGACACAATAGCCACAACAATGGGCTCAGACATATCTAAGATCATGAAGATGGCACAAGACCAGACAACATTTTGTTCTGTTATACATAAAGTCGCTGTGAGTCAGAGCCAACTCCATGGCAACTAACAATAACAACAAAGATACAACAAATGAATTGTTACTTTATAAAAAAAGAGTAATGAAGAGCCACTTAACAATGGAATGAAAAATTAAAGGCTTAATAGTATATGCCAAGGTGTTTATTGCCTGCTACATGCATACGCATATACACACACGTGCATGGTGTGCATGCTTACATACACAAACAAGATACGTAAGTGTGTACACACATATACACATATTACCTTTGATTCTCATTTACTGTCTGTAGCTTTTGATAAATCAAAATCTAGATTATTGTGTGGATTTTCTCTTTGCTCAAGTATCTCTGAAAGGAGACAGCAACACAGTGTGGGGGCCCCTCTGCCCTCACTTTGAATGTTAGGACAAGGCAGACTGAGGTTTTCTGAGGAATAGCAAACAGAACCCTCTTCAGACCCCTTCGGTTCTGCCCCAGATAATGCAATCTCTAAAGCCACAGTTATTAGGGATTATAATAATGAAATCCCACAAGACTCCAGGGCAAGATTTTCACTCCTTTCTTAAGTGTGAACAACCTTTACTGTCAGGTAAATGGGAGGTCCAGGGCTTTGGCCTTGACCTACAGCTAGTGTGGGTATGGCAGAGACAGAGGTGTCTTGCCATTCAGCTCTGCATTTCCAGTAAAAGGGAACTGGTGCCAGAAGGGGGAGTAGGGAAAATTTGAACATCAAGTCCAAGAGGGTCAACAAAAAGCAAAAGCAGAGTGCAAGGGGACAGGACCCACAGAGAAAGGTTGGTTTAGCTGGTGGAAGCTAGAAATCTCTGCGGATAAAGCAGTAAGGTGTATGGGATCACTTTTTTTGAGTGCTCACTACCGCTGCAGAGTGACGAGGTGGGAGGGGGTGGGGAGATGGGCAGTTAGAATAGTTAGGGTATAGGCTGTGTTTGTGTATCAGGTAGAGCATTATTTCTTCCAAGTCCTGATGGAACTTAATATTCCGACCGACTCTCGTTTCCTCATTTTGCAGTTAGACTAGTCTACAAAGAGGAACTGGTGGCTTTAGAAGAACTGGTGAATTTTCTGTTTCAGTTGCTGCTTTCTTTCCCATTGGTCAGTTTGCACTAAGTACTCTGGTTGCTGCTTAGAGCTGGTGTGTGGCCTGAGCCATCTGAGCCATGAACACCTTCAGGGCTGCCCTCTTCTTCTGGGTAGTGGCAGCATGGGCTAAAGGGGACGAGCCTCCAGGAGAGACAGATAAAGCTGGATTTCAAAAATGCAAGAATGCCTTGAACCTACGTGTTCTGGAAGTTCTACCTGGAGGTGGCTGGGATAATCTGCGGAATGTGGACATGGGACGGGTGATGGGCTTGACTTACACCAGCTGCAGGACCACAGAGGACGGACAATACATCATTCCTGACGAAATCTTCACCATTCCCCAGAAACAGAGCAACCTGGAGATGAACTCAGAAATCCTGGAATCCTGGGTAGATTACCAGAGCAGCACCTCCTATTCCATCAACACTGAGCTCAACACTTTCTCTGAAGTCAATGGCAAGTTCTCCGCCGAGTTTCAGAGAATGAAGACACTTCAGGTGAAGGAACACTCTATCACTACTCGGGTTCAGGTACGAAACCTGGTCTACACAGTCAAAATCAACCCAACTTTAGAACTGAGCTGGGGGTTTCGGAAGGACCTCATGGCCATCTCTGACTGTCTAGAGAACAACCAGACGCGGATGGCCACCTACCTGGCAGAACTGTTGGTTCTCAACTATGGCACCCACGTCATCACTAGTGTAGATGCTGGGGCTGCCCTCATCCAGGAGGACAGCATCAGAACATCCTTCTTACAAGACAGCCAGAACAGCCGCATTGCCGTGACTTTATCCGCTGGAATTACTTTCCAAAATATCATCAATTTCAAATTTGAGGATAACTACATCTTGCAGAATGCTCTCACCAAAAGCTACCTCTCGAACCGAACCAACTCCAGGGTGCAGAGCATTGGAGGGGTTCCTTTTTACCCAGGCATCACCCTTCAGACCTGGCAGGAGGGCATTGCCAACCATCTGGTGGCTCTAGACCGTGTTGGCTTGCCTCTGCATTTCTTCATCAACCCCAACATGCTGCCTGGTTTGCCAGGCCCCTTTGTGAAGAAGTTGTCTAAGATAGTGGAACTGGCTGTGAGACGGTATTATGATTTCAACACCTACCCTGGATGCACGGATTTCAATTCGCCCAACTTCAATTTTCAGGCCAACACAGATGATGGCTCTTGCGAAGGGAGAGTGACCAACTTCACCTTCGGAGGGGTTTATCAGGAATGCACCCAGCTCTCAGGGAATGAGGCAGTCCTCCTCTGCCAAAACCTGGAGCAGAAGAACCCACTCACTGGAGACTTTTCCTGCCCCTCTGGCTACTCACCAATCCGCCTTCTGTCCCAGATCCACGAGGAGGGTTACAACCACCTGGAGTGCCAGCGGAGGTGTACCCTCCTTGTCTTCTGCAAAAAGGTGTGTGAAGTTGTGTTTCAGGTAGCAAAGGCTGAGTTTAGGGCTTTTTGGTGTGTGGCTCACAACCAAGTCCCCGAATACTCAGGGCTACTTTTTGGGGGCCTCTTCAGCAGTAAGAGCATAAACCCCTTGACAAATTCACAGTCCTGTCCAGCTGGCTATTTACCACTGAGACTCTTCGAAAGTCTTAAGGTATGTGCCTCTCAAGACTATGAGTTGGGCTACAGGTTTTCTGTCCCCTTTGGTGGGTTTTTCAGCTGTGCGGTAGGGAACCCCTTAGCAGATTCTGCTATATCCAGAGATTCAGGGGCACCTGCTGTGAAAAAGTGTCCTGGGGGCTTCAGCCAACACCTAGCCCTCATCAGCGATGGGTGCCAAGTGTCCTACTGTGTCAAGTCTGGGATCTTCACAGGAGGGTCCCTGCCCCCTGTCAGGCTCCCACCATATACGCGGCCACCCCTTATGAGTCAGACTGCCACCAATACCGTCATGGTGACCAATATGGAGACCTCAAACTCCTGGATTAAAGACTATGAGACCCACCAGTGGAAGCTGGGAGAGCCGCTAGAGCTGCGCAAGGCCCTGAAGGTCACTCATGAGGACGAGCATGGTCTGTCAGGAGGAACAGCAGCTGGGGTCATAGTAGGGGTCATCACTGTCCTGGTAGCTGCCATCACCCTGGCCATCTATGGCACCAGGAAGTACAAGAAGAGGCAATACCGGGCAATCGAGGATGAGAAACAGAGTTTGACCCAAGGCACTGCAGCAACTGGAGATGCCCCTCAACAAGAGCCGGAGCAGAATCCAGTCTAAATCTCCCTCATCGCCCACCGGGGTTGAAAGTAGGTCTCTCATTCCTCCTCTCTCTACTTCTGCCTTCCCCATGATCAAAGTGGCAAGGACAGCAAATATCAGGTATAACTTTGTGACTTCTTCTTTAGAACATCTGGGCCAGGATGTTAATGGAGCTACATGGACAAGGTTGGCAGGGCAGAGGGAGAGGTTGGGACTTTTTAAGCAAAATCTATCCCGGGTACTAAAACATGAAGGTGGTGTCTTTTCCCTGCATGCGCTGTAAATTCTCTTCACCTGAACGTATATATACTTGCAAAAGGAGAGGAGGAAGAATGTTGACATTTTGATTTGGAGACTATTCATTTAGTCTGAGGTCTGCAGTGGTTTCCAGTTCACGAGCTATGCGAATTTCTGCCTGTAAGCATTACCCTCCCACGGTTTTGTTTTTGGATTTCATGTTCCTGGAGGCTGACAGAGTCTCTCAAAGACATGGAAAATCCTGTCTGACCACTGCTTTTTTAGCTTTGAGGGTTTCATGTTGTTGGAATGTGTCATCTCCTCTGGGTCATCTCAGGGTCTCCCATCTGAAAAGAAAGACGTTGCCTCTACCAAGCCCACATCTTCCAACTTCCTCACAATTAAGACCACAGTTACTCATATCAGACCATTCTTAGACTTCTGACCAGTGTCAGAAAATATTTTAACTTACAAACTTCTATTAGGAGGTCAAGGAGGGAGGGAATGTTTGGAGATAAGAAGTGAAGAAAGAGTAAAAACTGAAAAAATTCTGATGTTCAGAGGAAGTAGAAACTCTTACCCACAATCAACTATCTGGTTTCTTCCTATTAAATCATCATAAACAGGGCACCTAAGAGACCATAGATTTGGGTAGATTGAGGGTTACTGTTTCATGTTGTTACCAAAGTGCAATCCCTTCCTTTTCCATGGATGATCCTTGCCCTTCGTGTCTTCCCACCACAAGAACATGCACACACATACACCAAACATGCACACACACGGTAACACATAACCCTAGATGCATACACACACACTAACACACATAGCCCACATGCACAGACACAGTAACACACATAACCCACATGCACACACACACTAACACATAACCTTACATGCATACACACACTAACACACACAGCCCACATATGTACATACATACGCATACACGCATACATACACATACACCCCACACAGTGCACGCACATACACACATACCATATTCCACCAACACATCTGAATTTTTTGGGAGGGGGAGGGAAAAGGCAAGAATTCAAAGTAAGCCCCACTTAAGCATTATGTCTTCTCTAAAAACAAAACAAAACAAAAAGCAACGATATGCACCCTACCTTTATTTTTCTCCCAGCAGAAAGGGGGCTGGCATGATCAAATCCATGCTTTTAAATGAAATGAGAAAGCCATCCAGCACCACTGGTGACACATTTGTTCCCGCTCCAGGATGGCGCATCTAGCAGGATGCATGATTGACAGCCAGCACGGTTTCAGGCGTCACCCAGTTTTAATATCAATCTCATCAAATTGTAATTACCAGGGTGAATGGATTAATGTTCCTCCACAAAAATGTTTAAAATTATATTATCTGTTCCCCAAATCAAATGTCATTAGTGAGTTGCCTTTTACATAGGAGAATCTGTTCTTTCCCCGTTCATGATCACAATCAAGAGCTTGGGCCTCTTCTCCTGGGAAGCTTGAAGCATCCCAGCCTGCAGGAAGATGGCTTCGAGGGTGCTCATTCATCTCCAACTGGCATCCAGAGAGGAGAAGTGAATTTGAGCCCTGCCCTCCTGACTTCCCAGCCAGAAACACTGTGATTTCTACAACCTCTTTACTTAACTCTGCATCTTCTAGAGCTTTCGAGAAAGGCATTAAAATGTTCTCCTAAACCTCTGGGTGTTTTGTGGGTATGTTTCAGCCAAGCTAACCGTTTTTCTGCAAATTCCAAGTTTCCCAAGAACTCTTTGAAGATCCCTGAGCCAGAAAGACAAACGATAACCCAAGGCTCCCATATTTTACGGCACCAACTGCCTGATGAAATGAAAACTTCCCCATGAACTTCTATTTCTACTAACAAAATTGTATATAAATATGCATTAAAATATGTGCTTAAGGAAACTCTGTCTGGCTGCTCATGCATATGAAATCAAAGGTGGGAGTTTGCAGTTTCTATGCATCAAGTCATTTTACAGAATCAGAACCCCAGTGGGGCAGCTCTGAGCTCCGCTGCCAGTCAGAGAACTGACGGTGTCTTCCTGCTTTCCTAACCGGTGATCTCAGGGGGGTCTGTGAACAAACTAATCCTGACTTTCAAGAAAACCACACTCCATGAACAGAAATAGGGAAAGCGATGGGTGACAAGGGTATCTTTGCATTTGCATTATTTTGTGTGTGTTCTCATTACAAGTCTCTGGGTCATGCAAAAGATTT